GGGGTCTCGGCCCCGAGCCACGTCGTTTTGGAACACTCGTTTTTGATGCCCTTTTGGCTGCGGGAGCTCGCTCGTCTTCACTCGCTGTCGATCTCTAAAGGACTGTGTCGTCTCAAGACTACGCTATCGAACCTTTGTTCTCGCTCCCCCCTTTCCCCGTCATGCCCATTGGTCGGTCGATCTCTTACGATTCCGCCGTTCGGCGATTGGGGTCTCGGTGGGAGTTCACTTTCCTTTCGATGACGAGCGAGCGTTCCCTTTGTGACGCATCGAGTGTTCTTTTTATGACGGATCTAATGTTCGGCTTGTCGTGCACGACGTCGTATACTTATTTGTTTAGGATGTAGACACAAAGAGTGGTCATACGTATCAGCTTAATACCTAGATATGAAGAATGGTCTCAACAAACCTCTCATCACGGACACGCCGTTTTCACGTTGACTGTCAAATGTTTATGGATGACGTAGTTTCAGTGTTGCTATCAAATCAAAATATTAAAAAATTTTTTGTTACATTCAGTTAGTTGAAATATGAGGTGGCTCTTTCAAAACATGGCTCTTTCATACACATTCTCCCCTATATATAACTTTAAGATGTTGTTTACGCGTCTATTTCGACTTTTTCAGAAACTGTGCGTCGATACGGATTGTCGACCGCACAATAACTTGTCGATACGCGATACAAAATTCTTTCACAAGGCTTGATATGACTGATAAAATATGTCAAAAATTTTCAATTTTTTGAAACTTCTAAACCAGAATCGTTTTTTAAGTTTCAAAAAGAATTTGCCTTTATTCATTAATTATGAATTTTTTTCGAATACAAAAGGAATTCATAATAACTGTAATTTATTTCCATATAGAATTTGTTTTGAATTACCGGAAAGGAATTATTTTCAATTCATTGTAAATAGTTTATGCTAATTTATAAAGAATTTAAAAACGATTAACGAGTTTTTAACATCTTTTTGAGTTTCTAACAATCACCTGTGCTATTCAGGTGACTTTGAAATAATGTTAAAAATGTTGAAAAAATGTTAAACTTCCTACCTTTAACATATTATTATTTTTGTTTGCAGTAGATTGGGTACCAATAGATCTGCAGATATATATTCTTTTATTCAATGATTGTGAAGAGAAATATCCTAAACAACTAATATATTTTGCATATTTTATAAATTACATCATGATTTTATGGAATGGCTGAGTTGCATATAATTGGACAAATTTCATCTGCAAAAAATTTTAAAGAATCACATCTACTCTGCAAATGGAACTTTTATGTTGGTAAGAGAAGTAAAACCATGTTTAGTATAATAATCTAAGTAGATTAGACTGACATACTCGTATACAGGGTGTCCCATTTTAATCGATTACCCCTAGTAACTTTGCAGGAAAAGGTCGTAGAGAAAAATATTTCAAGCAAGAGTTGTATGGATTCAAGGGGGATATAAGATGGTGTCATTAATTTGACCTTGAATAGTTGCTTGAAGGTCACGTAAAGATCACCTTCAATTTTTAAATGGAACCCCCTATTGTTTATTATACTATTTAGTTCCACTAATTAATATGAACAACTTTTGTCTGAAACATTTTTTGATTTGCCTAATACTTTCTGAGATATTCAAGAGAAAGTTTATAACTGTTTTAATGTTTAGCTTATGACATCTCGATAACTGTTTGTCGGAGGAAAAAGTAGTACAGAACTTTTTTACTTAATTTGGTCTTAGGAATATGTTGTTGCAATAGTGCTCCAATTATTAAAAATTCGTATGTATGTAAATTTTGTATGTGTTACAATACTTCACGTGATCTTCAAGCAACTATTCAAGGTCAAATTAATGACACTATCTTATATTCCCCTTAAAGCCATACAACTTTTGGCTGAAACATTTTTGTCTATGATTGCTCCCTGCAAAGTTACGAGGGGTGATTGATTAAAATGGGACACCCAGTTGCTAGTATAAGTAGATTAGACTTGTCATATATCAATAAATTTTTGTTATTATAGGTAATGGTTGGAAAATTATATCAGGACATGAAGACGGACAAACACAAGAGAGTTGCGATTTTTATACTAATAATCCAGTTTTTGATCACCCAATAGATTTGCATTACACAACTCAGACTTTACAAAATTCTCCAAAGTTATTATTACAAGTGTTTTGCAGAGATAATTATGGAAGGCTAATATTTCTTTCATATGGAGCATATAATATTCCATTGTCACCTGGTTCTTACAATTTAGATTGTCATACATGGAAACCTATTGGTACCTGTACAATTTAAGTATATAAAACTTCACTATTCTAAACTTTATTATTATCTTTCAATAAAATTTGTATACAGGTACTTGGAAAGACAGACTATATGATAAATTTTTGGGAAAAAGTTTACAATTGAAGTCCCCTAGTATTTTAATCAACTCATTAGACAGGTTTGAAGTACTAACACAAAGTATGGGAACAGTGATCATTCACTTACATATCTTGGCAAAAAATTTTGATAAATTTGGATGTCAATTGTAACTGGACAACTGGACACAATAAGAATTGCATACGCAATTTATCTTCAATTAGAAAGTGCAAAGTGCAGCTAATTTTGAACAGATATTTGTATTAATATAGTATAACAATAATTTCTAAGAATGTATTTTCTTCTATTGCTATTTCTAGCATATATTAATATGGTAGAAATAACCAAAATTGAAGATATATCAATCTGTGTAAATGATACAGATTGCAATAAGTCAATAGACTCAACCATATATATACAGATTCCTGAAGTTGATACATCTTCAGAAGATTTGTCAAATGAGACAGAAGAGATTAATATCTTTACTACTACTAATCATACAGAAATATCTTCAAAAATAAATGCTAGTGCAACAGAGCTATCAGAAGTACCATCAACCTTAACTACAACACTTTCACCATCAGTAATAACAATATCCTCATCAACTATACGTTTGAGTGATAATGAAAATCTTACGCTCAAAGAAAAAGAAATATGCGAGTGTGACTTAACTGTATGTTTAAACATTATTTTTTTATAAAACATTTTGTTAAATATAAGAGAAAAAAATTGTTTATTATTTAAATTATAACATTGTGCCATTAAATATTTAAATTGTTTAATGTATGTTACAAATAGATTTAATGACTAAGAGAATACATTTATTCACTTACAATTATATGTCAAACAGAATTTTCTATTTTTGTGACAGATGTTTTCTTGTGACATCAATTGTTGCTGCGACATAGATTGCAATCATTTTCACTTATCTGCATTTTCTTACTGTCAATATTATCATGTGGAGCTTTATGACAGTCGGTATTGCTATAATCAAAATTTCCTACAACGGAATAACACACCTTTTATTTTTGAAAAACTTGCAAATAATTTGTTTTGCATCTTATATGACAATCTTCCATCTACATATAGTACTAACAACAATTTGGTAAGTAAGTTACATAATATTATATAATAAAACTATTAAGAGGATCCCGTAGCCGTTCTGTATTACCGACAGATTTACCATTTTCGTAGTATAACCTTTCGTCGTATTAAATTCATGGAATCAAAAATGCTTGCGTATAATGACAGTATATGCATTGATAATCCCAGGAAACTCCAATTTTATACAAAAAATGAGTAAAAATTACAAAATTCATATAATCGATCACATATAACCTTGTAGACGCGAACTGTCACTCCGTCATACTTGTGCTTCGTATAAAAGTTTTACAACTTGTATTCACATGAAACTGAGTTTCCTAAGATTCGATGACATGTAGAATTACTGTGAAACCCTCTAAATTGGGATTAGAGGTTTAAAATAAGAGTATAGTTAGTATGAAATTTTCGCGTTTATGTATGGGTGTGATGTATCGTAGTAGTGTGTCCGTGTGCTCATGTATGCTGCGTTTCGTGTTTAGATGGCGCACACCATCAAAGACTGGGGGATCCTCTTAAGAGCAAACATAATTTTTCAATTAATATTTTTTTATATAATTCGGTATTTTAAACTAATGAGAATATTCTCAAAAGTTGCCAGCAGTAATTAACAACATTAGTGATTTTTATTGACCGTATCTGGTAATTTTAATAATGAAGAAAATTTGTTACAAAAAATATTACCTTAGCCCAGAGGGGTGGTCGAATTGGTTGAGATGCACGCCTAGATTGAAAGGAGGTCCAGGTTCAAACCCTGACTGAGGTAATATTTTTCATAACAAATTTTCTGTATTACTAAAATTGCCAGATACAATCAATAAAAATCACTGATGTAGATATTTTAATTTTATAATTACAATTCTATAATTTATTAGAGAAAATGTTAATAATTTCCCAACGATTCAACTGATGTCGAAAGGCTTTACTGAATTATTTAATGTATTATTTAACGATTTCTCCTGTATTTTCTTTCAGCTTTTGTTAGTGTTAATCAGTTTTTGCTTGTTATCATACAGGAATTAGTTTTAAAATGGCATAGAATTGGTCATTTTTGCTTCCTCATAGAGGAAGCTTTGTTTTCGTGAAAAAAATTTTTTTCCAGTTTTCTTTGGGAATATGTTTAAAATGTTTTAAAATGTCTAAAAATAATATTTTTACAAAATGTCTGTGTGTGTGTGTGTG